AGTACGACCGTACTCTATTATACTACTAGTTAGTAGTGTAGTTAAGTTATATATAGTATATATATATATATATATATATATATATATATATATTAGTTTTTTTTTTTTTTAGTAATTTAGTTGGGAAGACATGCCCCTATCTATTTTTCCAAATAGTTTAGGAGTGAGTTTTTGAAAGTCATAATGGGATGGTATTAGTGGGAATAGAAACCACAACATGATTACTAGGGTATGGGGGTGCTACCACCACAACTGGAGCTCTTTTTCTAAATATTAAATATTTCATAATTAATTTTTATATGTGTTTGAAACGCAATTAGCAGACCCAAAATAGTTGTAATAAGAATCTCATGAGATGATGCTTAAGTTGTTATGTTGAGTCATCAGCCCCCACCATACCCCTAATGCACTATATCTTCCTAGTCTTAGGTCTCTAATTGGATTACCTAAACCTTTGGTCCACCACTTTGATTTGTATACCACAATAAACAATAATAAGTGCAAGAAAACGGAAAGGTGCTGTGGTCCGCCCTCCCCCAGTGTGGGGCGTCAGCCTGTGGGCCATTTGTTTAGAGCCAAGTAAGGCATATATATGCTCCATGAATAAGTTCTTAGAAAGTATTGTGAGAAAAATTCTGAAAAATAAGATTTAATTTGATGAGATGATGAATAAGTTTGTGGATTGAATTTTGAGAAAAATTTCTGGAAAAAAAAAAATACTCTTTTTGGTGAGTGCATGCCACCCATTTCTTTAGTGAGAGGCTCCATCTAGCTCTTTAAGGACTTAAAAGGTAATTTAAAAGATATTCAAGTGGTGATGATGAGTAAGGCCCCAATTTAAAATCATTATTTTATCATAAATCTTACACATTTTTCTGCTCTTGAAATACGTGGCCACTATTCACCTTATATTTTCTCTCTTAAAAAATTATTTTTTTATTGGGAAAACATCTCTTTATATTTTATTTTTTATTTCTATATCTCATGAGACTTAAAGACTGAAAATCTTATTGGTAAGCAAAAGGCTTCCATCTTTCCGATCTTACAACCCCCTCGATCCCTTTACCATGAATTTTTTACTCAAAGAAACACTAAAATGACTCCTCCTCCTCCTCCAATTTTTTTTCTTTTCCGTTAACGTTCTCTCGCTCAAATCACTGTTTCTCTCTCAACTCCACCTCTTTCTAAAACTCAAAGTTGCAGAAAAGTTTCCCTCTTCACATCGTCTCTCTATAAAAATTATCTCCCCTCTTTACATCGACTCTCTGTGCAAAGACATATCCCTCTTTACATCGACTCTCTTTGCAAGGACATCAAAGTATGAGACTGGCCGTACCGATTTGACATAATTTTCTTTCAAAAGGGGAATTTTTGGAAAGAGAGAGGAGAGAGAGACAATACAGAAAGGGGAACTTAACTACAACTTTGGGTTAGAGAGAGACAGTGATTTGAGATAGAGAAAATGTTAACGGTGGAGAGTATTATTTTAGTATTTCTTTGGGTTAAAAATTCATGTTAAAGAGGTCCAGACGGTTGTAAGATAAAAAAAGATGGCGACCTTTTGCTTACAAGTAATATGTTCAATCCTTAAATCTTATAAAATATGGAAGTCAAAAATATGAGATAAAGAGATATTTGCCGTTTTCTATATACCTTTCAAAACATAATATAGTTTATGCTTCTTCTTTTTGTGGTTTTTCATAATCTTCTTTGGGACCAAGATGGTGTATGTTTGAGACAAAAAAGAAAATGGTCCACGAACTTGCGTGATATTTTCAAGCTTTTAAGCATCACCCTAACCGCCCAGGTATTTGTTTCTCAAATTCCAATCCCATATAATATTGCAGTAATGACCATACTGTTTTATTGATATCACAGTGCAAAAGAATGGAATGATTCAGAGCACAAAGACTGCGTAGGGCAAACCCAGCCACTTCCGGGGTCTACATACCCAGGGGGTCCCTTACCACAAATGAAAGCATTACAAACAGTATTGGAAGGCATGAAGAGCCCAGCAATTCTCCTCGACATAACTACCCTCTCCCAGCTTAGGAAGGATGCCCACCCTTCCATTTATTCCTCTCCGAAAGGCAGAGATTGCAGCCATTGGTGCTTGTCTGGCCTGCCTGATACATGGAACCAACTTTTAAACATTGAGATTTGATCCTAATCTCCCAACACCAAAAAATAGCTTTCTCCGCAAATAATTCCTTCTTGCTAGGAGTCGAGCTTGCGTTTGAGTGGTTAGCGACTGACGATTAGCAACACTACATCTCAAGTTCGATTCTTACTGCTCAACTACACAAAATAAATAAAAACCATTCTGTTTTGCTTATATTTTGGGACGAATGGTTAGATAAATTTGTGAGGTTGGTCCAAATTAATAAATAGTCTCAAAGGTAAAGGCAAGTTATCTTTTGCATTTTTGGTAGGAGTAGGAGAGGAAATAATGGCTACATTGGTGCACGGCATAAGGTATTGTTGCTGTAAATCATTATTAGTGCATAATATGAGATGGAGCAAATGGAAGCATTTAGAACTTTTCATTGGGTTTTTTTCTTTATTTTACAACTCTGGCAATTGTGCAAAGTCATGAAATACCAACATGGAAATAAAATATGGCGGCGGAAAGAACTGCTCATTGAGTGGTGTTATAATACTGCTATTATGATTCTAAAATAAATTCATTAATTCTAGGATCAAGAAAATGCTCTTAAGTAGGCGATTTGGCCATAGCTATTTTGCTTGACTACTGATGATTCCAACTCTGCATTCCAATTTCGATACCTTTAGCTCAACTACCCACGATTAACACTTGGGCTGATATAATCAACCGTGCTAACCTTGGTACGAAAGTTATGCACGAAGATACTGCTCTCAACTTCCCTTTAGACTTAGATGTTATTGAAGCCGTCTATTTAGTGAATGATACTTCGCTCTAATTGTACACGAACAGCAAAGAGAACAACCTAATGTCTTGTTAAAGAAAATAAAAAGTAAAATGTCGTTTGCCAAAAAAAATAACTACAAAATTAGTGAATGATACTTCGCTCTGATTGTACACGAACCACAGAGAGAACAATACCAAATGTCTTGTTAAAGAAAAGAAAAACAAAAATGTCATTTGCCAAAAAAAAAAAATACAAATTTTTCTCCAAGCAAGGAGGCACTTGATGAAATAATTTACTGAACCGAAACTTCGGTGACGATTAAAAGATTCGATTAAAAGATTAAAGGGTTGAAGAGGTTACATCCCAAAAATTTGGACTCCTAAAATTAATTCTAGGTGGGGTTTTAGCCGAAGGAGTAAATGAGCATTCTACTCTCTCCAGAGTATAATATCTTTTGGCTTCATAATTATTACACATAAATATGGAAAAAGTACGCTTGTAGTTATCAACCTCAAAGAAAACACTTGAACAAAAATGTCCTTTGTGAATGATCCAAGCATGACATGTTCACACCATTACCACAAAGTGCTAAAAGGATATCTAACCTCACAAATAAAAACCCAAAGAACAAAAAAACAAGAAAGTGAGCTGCAAGAAACAACCAAGAGTTGTACAGATATGTGACAATGGCCTTTTGGGTCCCATCCAGCTCATCACATAGTAACCAGCCAAAAGCCCTCCACCTACTATTTCTATTAACATTAGTGCATGGACCACACACACACATACACCTGCAGAACAAAGTTTTAGTTTATCATGTGACTATGCTATTTAGCTAGGCTTTCTATGTAACAGCATGATTTTTAGACCCTAGCTCTTATGTTATTCTTTGTCTGCTTGAAAATGGTGCTTCCCTCCTTAGTTGAAATTCTAGGAAAATTTAGGACCACCTATGAATAAATATCGATTGAGCTGCATTGACATCAAGCTCAAGAGATAGAGATATAAAAAATGTAGTTGAAATTTATTGAGCTGTCATAGTTTTATTTATGATAAACTAAATATGTGTACAAAATCTCATTCCATGTATCTGGTACTCCTGGCAAGCACCAATGTATGCAATCAGCATAGGTGTTTGGCTCTGATCTTTGTTCAGCTGTCAAAAGCTTGCCTGCTCTTTCAGTGTAGAGTGAAGTGTGTGCGTCCTTTCGATACTCTGACAATTGTGTTATTTTAATGTATGTCACCCCTACATTCATCGATCGAAGGGTGTTAACCACTATATCCATCATCTCAGTGCTTGAGCCGACACCCAAGTACGAACCTTGGATTGGATGGGTTTCATTGTAACAATTTCCACTACTTCCTGCCCTCCATTCCCAACTCCTGCACAAGAGAAAACAAGTATAAGACTTATCAAAGACATGATTTGGAAGTGTGCACAAAGATTAGGTCAAGAATTGGCTAGGACATAAAGTGGAAGTGTGAATATGTCACTTTTTCACTCCACTACCACTTAGAGTGCTGCTTGTGCTATTAGTTGGCAATGTGAAATGCGTAGTGGTTTTGATGTTGAATGAAACTCACCACAAATGTGTTGGAGAAAGAGACATGAAGAAGACTTTTTGGTTGTGGGGATCAATGTGAGAGTCCACCCATTGTGCCCAAGTATTTAAGGCAACTCTATAAGCATTTGGAGCACTGTACTCTTGGACTTGATCATAAGGCGCCACTCTGCACAACCACAAAATCGATTTCAAAACTCCCAAGGAATACGACTAGATCCAGATACGTAATACAAAATTGGGTGAGTTGTATTGCCCATACACTAGATACTAGATGGTGGCCTAAAAATCAACAAATGTTTCTGGCTAAGAACAATGAGGCAACAAAGAAAAAGAAGAAACAATAAAGAACTGGAACTTTTCCTTAAAATGCAAGTAAGAATTATAAAACTGTAATAAAAAAAGAACGAAAAGAGAAATAAGAAAAAAGAGGCAAAAAAATGCATAAAAATGATATGAGAAAAGGAAAGAAAAAAGTAAACTATAAGGTGGGATTATGATAAACATGAGGAGAATAGCCACGACAGAAATCGCAATGGTATAATTGTAATTTATATCTATGTACTTTCATTCTTTCCCCTCAGATGTATTTATTTATAACCATTGGATTGTAGTCCAAGTATCAATCTTTCAGTGAGATTGTATCTAGGCTTGTATAGACTATTGAGGGGCCACAGCAATGAGCACATTAAATAATAGTATTTCATAATTTAATTTAGTGCAATAAGGATCGTTTCAAATCTAGTTCTTTTGTATATTAATGTGGATTGTAATTTGTTAAGGAGAAAATCATAAAGAGATGTTTTTATTTGCCTTGTACAGCAAAAAAATCATTAGATGACGCATTTATTTACCAAGGTGATTGTTGTGCGTGGAAGCTCTAAACTTGATGGGTTGATTTTAGCAAATAAAGTATCAAACACACACCACAAGAACACAATGATTTACGAGGTTCACACCAAAAGAGCTACTCAAACAAATCCGCTAAACCATTGAAAGTTACATCATAGACTTTGGGAGATAAAGTTATCTCTCTAAACCTAGACAAAAACCCAATTGAGCAAACCCTTTTAAACCACTCTCCATTCTTTCTCTTTATTTCTGACAACTATTATCGACAACACCAGATAAAGATGCGAAAGCAATGAGAAACTGACTTTCTCTCTTACTAAAAAGGGAAACTACCCAAAATTTTCATGGGCACCACTTCTCTATAAAAAAACAAGCCTCTCAATCTTCAAAGTCTACAAAAGGTACATTCACAACGTTTCTCTTCATAAGAAACTCCATTCTTTCTCAGAGGAAAGTTACATCATAGATTTTGGGACATGGAGTTACCTCTCTAAACCTCGACCAAAACCTAGTTGAACAAATCCTTTTAAACCACTCTCCATTATTTCTCTTTACTTCTAACAACTATTATCGATAACACTATATAAAGACGTGAGAGCAATGAAAAATTGATATTCTCTCTAACTAAAAAGAGAAACTACCCAAAATCTCTATGAGTACCGCTTTTATACAAGAACCAAACTTCTTAGTCTTCAAAGTCTACAACAGGCACAATCACAATGTTTCTCTTCATAAGAAGTTCTATTCTCTCTAAGAAGAAATCTTACATCTTATACACAAGAGACCCTACCCTTCTCTCTAGAGGAAATCACCATTCCCATATGGTGAACCAAATAGGATACACAAATTCTCAGCTCTTTCATCTCATATATATATATAAGGTTAAAAATTCACACTAGATAGGAAACTTCCTATTAATGTTACATATATCTCAAAACCAAGAGATATATTTAAGAGTCTTAATTTTTTTAGATTTTTATTTATTTTTAGGAAACCTATCAATATCAATCTTAATCCCACATAATATAGGATTTCTTATGTGGGTGATTTTGGATAGCACAAAATCCAATAGGCGGTGACATAAAAAGGCACTAGTTTGACAAACTCTCTCTCATAAATGTGTGAATGAATTTTAATGGGATCTTAGCGGATACAAAAGAAGGTACAAGGGCATAATTGTAACCTGGATCATTCTTTCATCCTTTTCTAAGAAAACAAAGCCTAGGTTTTCCACGTATATATTGCATCATTGATAATATATTTAAATTCCAGTATAAATAATTTGTAGTAAAAAATTTGACCATTTTGTCCATATTTTTAAAAATCAAAGCCAATTATATGAAGAAATATTAAGTAAGGCATGGCCTAAGGGTGGTTAGAATAGTAGGTTGTCGCTATGTGACATCTTGAGTCTCATTCCTATCAAGACGATAACATTAAGAAAAGCGAAAAAAAATATGAACCAACACATGGAAATCAAAGCAAAATACAAATGCCAAACCCAAAACCTAACTATTTTCACAGCACGAAACAAATGCGTAACTTACGATACATTAATGGTAGGGTTGCTCATCCACCACACGTAACTGTCAAATACTAAGATGTCGATTCCCTTCCAATGGCGACCATGTTTATCGATTGATTGAAGATTGACAAGTTTGTACTTCACCCTATGCTTTGTGGCATGATCTGCATTGGATTCTACGATGAATGGAGCCCAATAAAACTCTATTGAAGCATTGAACTTCTGTTAGCACCAAAAAATGCTAGACCCACATAAGTTGGATAACAAAATGAAATATGTAATTAGAGCTCATAATTCATCATTTAATGGGAACGGTGCAACGCAAAGACAAATATGAGGCATTTCTTGTTCAAAATTCACAAAAAAAATTACATAATGCAAGCCTAAATAGAATATGGTTATTTGGAATAGATGATATGAAAGTGAGTAATCAGTATATATCTATCTTCTTGTTAATATTTGGTCAACCTTTGCAGAAAAAGATAATAATTACAGATTTCAATTTCAAAGTTTGATGTTGGGAATTTAGAGGGTGGATCCAAGCTTTCTTCGCTTCCAACTTACAAAATAGTCTATTCCAAACATGAATTCCATCCTAAACTTTTACTCCATTGCCATGGCATGAAAGTAAATCTTCTCAAATTGTAATGGTCCGTCCTCTCTAAGAAGCTTAGGATCCAACTCCTTGGCAACTTGAAATCAAGTTTCAATGCCACAAATATGCCCAACTAACTATAACGATGAGGCAAGGAACCACTGAAATAGTTTACAAGCTTATTAGGTTTTACCATCTTAGCAGTTGCATTTCGATTGAGGTGCATTTCAATTGAGGGTGTAACAGAGTTGGCAACCTATGTAACAATTTTATGATTGTTAATCTCTCATACCTCCGTTTTAGATTCCAAATAACCTCCCTTCAGTGTATTAGATGCTTTAGGGCATAATTTGTTACCAGTTATTTACTCCCATAGCCTTTTTTTCTTAAAAAAACTTCACATAAGCCAAGACTAATAACTACAATTCAATCCGTCCAATTTAAATTTGGTGGAATGAATTGAATCAAAGGAAGCCATAAGATTTAGATAGGCTACAAATTGTTGATAGAATAAATACTACAATTCTCACTCAAGAAATAAGTCCCTGCTTTGCTGCTCCTTGAAGGCTTAATGAGAATACAATTCGTTTTATTGACTTGAATACAGTGTTCAGAAAATCGACTCAGCCAAAATACTCGGAAATTGGCCGAGGTGAGTTACTCGAGTGAATCTAAGTAACTAGCCTGAGTCCAACTCCCTTTTTTTTAAAGAAAATGAAAAACAAAAGAAAAAAGTGATATATATATATATTATGCGCACCACTTTTATCAACAAATTTGTTGAATGAAACGCTGGCTAGTACCCCTTATTATAAGAGGTCTTGAATTCCATTCTCGATTGAAGCTTTGGTAACATGATAGGCTTAAAGAGCCACGTAAAAGCGACTGAGGCATTGGTACAAAGTAACTGAGTGTGCAGAGAGAAGAGTTCTTAGTCGGGAAAGTTTTAATGACTTTGATGAGGTGAACCTCACTATAAGCAATGTACCTTCAGGTTTTAGGGAAGAATGGTTCGAGTCAAATTAATAGCAGAGGGGGCTGAGAAGGTGACAAAGAATGGGAGCCTCAATGGATGAGATCCAAGACCAATTCAGTTTTTCTGTCTAACTTCGAGATGCTCAGTTGAATCAAAGCCCAGATGGATAAGATCGAAGGCCAATTCACTATCCTTTCTAATATAGGATGGTGTAAATCTGAGACTGAATCGCTAGGGTTCAAGACAGATTCAACAAAATCTATGGTCTCAGACAACAAAAAGTTGAGCAATACACAAAGATGATCTATGGTTCTAATACTATGATAGATCCTTATGTTTTTGTGAAGAGAAGTCTCAATATTGACCTTAGCCCGTTTAGGCCAGGCCCCTTGCTATCCTATCAAATTCATAAACTGAGAGAGATGTCGGCACATGGACACACGCATAAAATGCACATATTTTGATAGGAAATATTTTTTTGAGATCTATAAGTTTATGTGTTTAGGTAAACTTTGATTAGGGCTAACAATTACCTGGTGGCCAGGCTCGACCCTAATAAAGTAGAGCTTGGGCCATAAAATGTGGCCCATTGACATGGCCCAAGGCCAGAACGACCTTGCATAGTCGACCTCTATTGGATATGGTCATTATCCAAAATCACCCACAAGGAAATCTCATATTATATGAGGTTTAAATTGATATTGATGAGTTTCCTAAATGAGATAGAAATCCAAAAAGATTAAGACTCTGAGGTATATATCTTAGTTCTTGAGATATATGCAACACTTATAGGAAGTTTCATATTTAGCGTGGACTCCTAACCTTATATATATATATGATGGAAGTGCAGAGAAATGCCCTATTTAGGTCACCATATGGGAAAGGTGGCTTCTTCTAAAGAAAGATGCAAGGCCTCCTCAGAATCGGCAAGGCTTCCCTTAGAGAGAAGATAGCTTCTTAAGGAGAGAAATGCCACAGATCTGCATCCTGTGATTGAAAGGCTGGTTTCTTGTAGAAAAGCGGTTCCCATGAAGATTTTGGTGGTTTCCCCTTTTAGAGAGAGAAAGGCTCGGTTGCTCTTAATGTTCTCCTCCTGAACAGTGGTTTGCTTGTGTAATGGAGATGACATCTTCCTGGATAGTAGTTTAGCTGTGGAATAAAGATGAGAGATCGGCGGGTTATGCCAATGGAGAGACTGGGTCTAAAAGGGTTTACTTGACTATGTTTTGTCGAGAATTGAAGAGGTAACTCTTGTATAACTTTCATTGGTATAGTGGATTTCAGTTTGTCATGCCAGTAGATGTACGTCTTTTGTGGTGAACCACATAAATCGTTGTGTCCTTCTGACGTGTGTTTCATGCTTTATTTCTCGTATTATGGCTCCTGCCCTCGCCTATTTTGTTTCTAACTGGATGAGTACACGATCTTGGTAGGATCCAATATTTGGGATTCTTGTTTCCGCATCTAAGAGGGTTCAGAGGGTTTTTAAATCCTAACAACCCATGTCCTCCATTTTTTATTTTTCTTCTATTTTTACTTGTTTTTTATGTGGCTTGGCTCAGCCCAGACCATACTAGACCATGGCACCTTTGTCTCGGTGTGGGCCAAGCAGGCCAGGTCTGGGCCAAGCCTAACCTGTTGCTGGCCCTAACTTCTATACAATACACGTAAATAAGGGAATGATCCAATAAAATTAAGCTCAGTGTTTAGAATTTGATAAAGCCGAATGATTCGATATTCTTGTTTTAAATTGTTCATTTGTTCCCTCGGGGAAAAAATATGCTAGGGATAATTTTTAGGACTCCAAAGTTTTGGGGATGTATCCTCTATAATCTAGAGGCTAATCCCCTAATAAACAAAAAAAAAAAGATAATTCAATCACACTCTATGAACCTAAAAGAAATTACATCCCAAAGTGTAATGTATGTTGTCCAATTTTGGGACAGCAAGATCTGAGTGCTAAAGGGATAAAAAATCAAATTTTTCTTCAAAAAACAATCATCTTATGATATTTAAAAAGATCCCAGATTTTCAGATCCAAATAACATTTGCACCAAGGGAGCAAATGTATACTGCTCTCGCAGGAGCATAGTACATGCACTATTTGATTATAGTCGGTCACTCTAGTGAATGGAGACCAGAATATTGTGCCACGACCCCCAACATTTGTGGCGGTCCTGATCATTTTGTGTGGCAAGCAAAAGTAGGCGTATTTAACCTTAATGGGCTGGGCTTGTACTGTTCCATAACAACACCGTTTTCCAAAAAGTCTCATTTTTTTGGTGAGTTAGTGGAGCGGGGCCCTACCTTCATAGGAATTGAACCCTGGTGAGTTAGTGGAGCGGGGCCCTACCTTCATAGGAATTGAACCTAGGATATAGCGTTGCAAATCATTAAGCGTCAACCAATTAATCCGGGCTCTTTTCAGAACATGAACTACTGCCAACAACCAATGACTGGTGTGAACTGTTCCTCTGCTTAAGTGGATTTGAAGGTCTTGACATGAGGAATAGTTGGCCTCTGCCGGCCCTTGTTCGCATCGATGAATGATGTACAGGTAGCATAACAACACACTATGATAGGCGTATGGTATTCTTACTGATGGTTCCCTAATAGGTGTGGTCAACCTTTGAACGGGTCCAGGTATGGACCCACAAAATGGCCCAACTGGTCAGGTCTGGGTCTACTTGCCTTGGACCCCATGTCCAAGTATGACCCTATCCAGGCACCTTGGCCGGGATCTCAGCCAACTCAGCCCAACTCAATTTGGTAATTATATGTGCAAGGTTAAATATATAGTAAATATGTAGCATAAAACATATAGGTGCGGTTTGTATACAACCGTGGCTTTAAACAATCAAAGTAAAGCAAGCCTTCAAATAGTGTTGAGAAATGTGTTTCAATATTGGAAATCTTTGTGTGAGCCTTAAAATATATTTTTATTCTCTAATTATAAAGTTTAAAGCTTAAAAAATAGTGTAGATTGAGCAGATCTATGGAAACTTGAAAATCTTGAAAATTGATAGGCTAAAAATACATCACAAGATGCACTATTTCCCAAACTTGAAATCCATTTTTTTCACGTGTTCATGCATCTTGAGGTCGAGATTATCAATTTGAAGATATTTGAGCATCAAAACAACATCTTCCACTAAAATTTTTGAAGTGCACCCTAATTTGATTGTTTAGAGCCTCCCACTTACATCAACTTTTTCCAAATATATAATATGATTGTTTATATATTTTTTTCCATTTCAAGACCTGTGGTCGGGTCTAGGCCAATGGACGACCCTGATCCTAGTCGGGTCAGGTCCTAACCCAGCCCCACCGGATTGGCAGCCTACTCTCTTGTATTTGCATGCACATGATCCAAGTATGGTGTATACTAAGTAGATAGTAAAGTAAGAGAGAAATGAAGAAAATTTTGGCACCTTAGCGGTGAAAATCCGCATGGGGGGAATCTTATCCATGGACTTTTGGTGGTCTGGAATGGCCGATTGCAGGAGACAAACCATGGATTCCCATTGGGTTCTTTGAAGCGAATCCCCCACGAACATCAATCTTTTGCCCCTTAGCTTCTCCAGTAACCTCAAGGGATCGAATCTACCAGAGCACATTATCATTCACATGTGAAACCACCAGACTAAAACAAATAGAAGTTATTGTGTAAATAAAAATTTTAGGAAAATTATAAAAAACAAACCTTAATTTTTGGATTATTAGAAATAAACCCCAAACTTTTCAAAACCTTGTCCATACCCTTTTTTAAGTGAGTAGACAAAAACAGCCTCCACGGTAGTCTTAGAACCTCGAAGCTATCACGGTCTAATGAAAATCATGATGGTCATGGCGGGTTGTATGTCAAATGTAGTTTTGAAACGTCATGACACTTAAAGAACCGTGATGGTTTATTGGACTTTTGTGGTTTTAATTTAACAGTTATACCTTCGTCACGGGGTATAGTTTCATTGTATACATTTCCCTCTCTTTTTGTCCATCTGTTTTATTGTATTTTTCAAAATACGCTTTCAATTCCAAACTGTGTTAGAGATGGTTTTTTGTGAAAAATGTTGTTAGGTACTGAGAGTAACAAACATACGAGAAGGACAATAGTTCAGTACTTTGGTTATCCCAATACCGAGCATAAAGGATTACAATAGTTCAGTACAAAGATTATGGAGCATAACATTTAAAAAAATTAACTTGTTTTGTACTCTTAGTACCAGACTCTGTCAAATATGTTTAGTATTGAAAGTACTGCACAATAATTTTGTAAAGGGCATTTTGGAAAAAATAAACTGAAAGGCTGGCTTTTGGTCTTAAGAATATTGAATTAAAAAGTGTGAAAAACAAAAACTTTGTCAAACACCCCAAACCATCCAATTTAACATCTAATGGGCTAGTAGCAATTATGATCACCTCAATATGTAAGAGAAATGATCTTATAGTATACAATCTCTTAAATAAAAATCACCATTTAAAAAGAAGGTGAAATAACATGCACATGTGAGTGTCTGTGAGAGCGAGTACCTTGGCAGCTCGCAATCGCGAGGGCGCCATTTCCAGTTTTGGTATAGAGAGTCAGGGCGACCGTTTTTTTGGCAAGTGACCGGCTGAGTAAGGTAGGGGCAACTCTCCTCCCTGAACAAAGGGTGGGAACCAGGGTCGAGCTCCCATCTTCCACTGAACACATCGCATCCATTAAACACCCATTCATACTCCAATTCTCGATTAAGTTTGATTGAGGCATTCCTTTGGATTATGAGGTATAGCTGAAGCCCCAAAAGAAGAGAAGCCAAGGCCAATGGTATGAAAATGAGAAGCCCATACAACTTACTAGAGCCCACCTTCATCCAGGGCAGAGAGAGAGAGAGAGATTGTTGAAGTTGCTTAGGGAGAGGGAGAGAGAGGGGTGTGACACTGGTTTGGTCCTTGCATATAAGAGAGGGTTGGCTTGCATTCTAAGTCGTTTATAAGGCAAGTTTGATCTACCAACCGCATGGGGATGTTGCAAAAGCCCTTTGCGTTCACCCCCTCTTTAAGGAAGAGGAGATCGTACATATAAAAAACAAATGGAATTATGTTCCCCCCCCGGAGCATTTCCTCCATTCACTTCATTGGGAAATTTAATTTAGGGGTATTTTTAAGATTTCCATTCTAGGGTTGCAACTTCTTCAACATTAGAATGGAAAATTTCACTGCATTGTGTATCTTATTGCAGTGGAGATGTAAACAAAATTCAAAATATTAGGATAAGATGGAGGTTATATACCTTTTCTAGATCTGAACTCCCTTTTTAAATCTAATTGTTCCCTTTTGCGCGTCGATAGTTTGAAGACGTGACCACCTTCTTTTGATTATAAGAATGTTTATGTTCAAATTTCGATCGATTTCTCAGTGAGATCAACTCGAATTTCTAACGAAACGAGTTCAAGTTTTAAAATTAGTAGAGAGAGTGGGGTCACTCAATTATAAGTTTAGGGGCATCACAGATCTTTGCAGATCTGGTTCTCTTCTAAACCTACTAGCAGGGCCAGCTCCAAAATCTATTTATTAGACCTTAAAAAGCTTTCTAATTCCTAATTAATTCTAATAAATGAATAAATACCTAAAAGAATAAGAATAAAATAAAAATAAAAAAATAAAAGAGATCAAAATATCACATACCTAGAAAACCCGGAGTTGGGACCCGTATCAGAAGTGTGGGTTGATTTGCAACTTTAGATGCATTCTCTTACTTTCTTGAAATATGGCTCTAAAGTTTTGATTTGAATCTAGAAGAACTCATTTTTAGGATTTCGATTTTTAGAACAATTTTGATAGGACTTGGGCTTAGGAGCTCTAACCTAAATTATTTTAGGGATTTTCTATATATTTCTAGAGGTTTTCCCAAATTTTCTAGGGTTTGAGAATTTTTTGTATTTTATAGGTATTTTGGAAAAAATTTCTAATTTTTCTAATTTTTAGGGTATTTTCGTAAATTTTTGAATTTTCTAGAAATTTCATGATATTTGTGGGGATTTTCCTAACTAATTTTTCCAACTTTTTGGATGATTTCTCATGGAGTTTGAGGGGCTATTTATATGTTGAGGCTAGGGTTAGGCTTGAAATTAAATGATCTAATATCCTAGTTCTATTTGATTAGGAATAAGCTAATTTTCATATTTTTTTGGAATATTTTGGACTATTTGATTAGGAATAAGCTAATTTTCATATTTTTTTGGAATATTTTGGACTAAGACCGACTTAAAAAAAACCAGATCAGATTTGGACAGTTTTTGGGATGCGTTGGGCCCATCGGGCCATGCAACGAGCAACGAGTTGCACGGCCTAACTCTCCATGTGGCGTCCAATACGGGATGAGTCGGACCTCGCGGTATTTTGCCATTTTTCATCCTGGAAACTCTCGACGCCCTAACGTTTCAACATAAACTACGATTCGAGTGATTCTTGGACTTTTGGTAAGTTCTCAGGGTTTACTATGGCTTGAGACATATCTCGGACAATTAAATTGGGTATAAGTTGATTATGGCTTACTAGATTTTGTATGATCCTTAGGATTCAGAATCAAGGCTTCTGGGAATCCTATTAAGCCAGAATTTATAAGGGATATTTATAGTTGCCCCTCTTTGGCATTCACCTGGGATGCCAAGTGAATAGAAAAAAAGTACACACTCGAGACACGATGGAAGAAAATTGATGGGTCATACTTTTGAATAAGCAGTACCCTTTGGGAAGGTGGTACACCGATGGATATTCTTGATCCATAAGACATAAAATTAGCATTGCACTATCTTTGAGGCAGTGGCATTGAGAGGTTTCCAATAAACGGGATCCAAAGATGGAACCAAGCCATCTTTGAGCTAATGACTTCTCCTTGCAGAGATTACCCCAAGACTACCTGAGACGCCAATGTATTCATCTTCAGCTTTAGACCTTTTGCTTTAGGGCCTGGTTTTCATTTGAATGAGATTTTTGAATTTGAGAATGAATATTAGTGGTAAACATTTGGCTAATCGAATTTCTTTTTGCCTTTTGATTCTAAATTCTGATGACCAAAGTTTCAGGTTGGGGTTTTCAAAACTTATGGGTTGTTTTTCTTAAAAAATGGCTTTTCCTAAGGATTTCAACTTATACTTCAAGACTTTCAGAGAAGGCAGAAATGCAGTAACATCATGTGCAGACTTGTCCGACTCCTTCCTTTTAAAATATTTTAAGCAATTATGTTTTCAAATTAGGAATTTTGGAAACAAAACCAAGTGCCTCAGCATATGATTTTAACAAAGAAACTAAGATTTTAAAATCTGACAAACACATAGGGGAAAGTTTTTGAAACGGGGGAGAATTTCAAAATATAGGTTGATACCATGGAATTTTTTCTTTTTCTTTTTTTTTTTTAATACGAGCTTGGTAAACATTTTCTTTGGAACTTTTAGGATGAGGAATCGTAGAATACTCTTTGATCTTCCAATCACAGCTCTGGTCACAAATCATGGGAGTCTTTTTTAAGTTCCAAACAAATTGATGTCTTGGATAATATGAGTTATTGCCCCTAAGTGCTCAGAATCTCCTCGAACATCCAATTCCATTCTTCCACTACCAACCCTTTCGAAATTCAAATAGCCGAGGCTCTTCCGGTTTACTTGGACAGATACTTTCATATTACTTAGCTTTTTTACGCCATTTTGACTTAGGAGGAGAAGTTGAAAATATTTTCTAGAGATGGAGACGAAAAGAGAACTTTTTTTTTCTTTTTTTTCTTTTGCCTCTAGGGTCCCTTTTGGGTGTTCAGTCTGGTGGTTTTTTTTCCAATGCTCAAGGTTCTTTTCCGATTTTTAGTTCTGCAAAAAAAAATTCAATTCTTTTTTCCCTCTTTTTTTTTTTTTTTTTGTTCACTCTTGAAGAAGATGAAAAAAGGGAGGAGGTGAAGAAGAGTCAATGGTGCTTTCCTTTTTGGCACTTCATACTAGAAACATACGAGAACTCTAATATTTTTCCTTCCTCTAGGTAGCAGGGAGCATTTAGACTTGGTAATCTTTAAATTTTCGTTACCTTTAGTTGATATCCCACACTTCTTTAACGAAGGTTGCTCAATTCTCGTTGAGTTCTTCTCACTGGATTGACTAAGCCTACTTTGTTTTCTTTTCTTTTTTTTAACAACTTATTAGGACACGGTGCTTAAGCAAAACATGGATGCTCCATTTAGCTTATTTGAAAAAGAGGAGCAAAAGATCACCCTAATCTTTCTCGATATTCTTTTTCATCTAGAAGTTCATGTTGTTCTTGAGCAGTTAATGGTACTAATTACGATCCTCGTAATTAGTGCTTAAGCATCCATGATCATTGCGGTCGGAGACAGACATTTGGCAACATTGATAATAGCATTGGCACTACTGAGACTTTCGTTTCCAGAAAACTGCCGCATGTTACTCTGAGCACTTTTGTCCTAGATATAGTTCATTACGCAATGCCAAAAAAAAAATTGTTCTATACGTAAATATCCCTATGTTTTTCTGAAGGCTGGTATATTGATTTCTTTTTGCTTTTGAATAATTCTGTAAACTTATATTTCTACTTACATTTAAAGTTAGAAAGAAAAAATATAACATCCATATTACATGGATGTTTTATTGGTGCGCAAACACCATCCTACTGGTTCAAATTAAAAGGGGAGAAAATAGACGACTATTTATTGTATTCAATATTTTAATTTTATGTTTTTTACAAAATTTACTAAAATGAAATTTTGGATGCCCATACTTCACTATTAGGCACACCTAAAAAAAGATAAAGGTAATAATTTACAAAAAAAAAAAATAACCAGAATTATTTTTTATTTTGTAGATGCGCCTAATTGTGGCACACACCCCTTCAAATTTTGATGTAAATTAGTTATAGGGAAAGAAATGGAAATTACAATTCTATCTACATTAGTGACCAGTGAAGGACTGCACAACGCGCATGGGCCAGGTCGAGGTAACCAGCTTGGGTCGTGCATATAACACAGTTGGTAGAAAAATGTTTAAAAAATAAGAAAAATATAAAACAAAACCAAAAAAAAATTAAAAATATGATTAAAGTAAAATTAAACAAAATACATCTAAATGAAGTTAAAAAAGTTGTGAAAAATAGATTTTGAAAAATTAATTTGTGACTAGTGTTACTTTAGAAATACTTTAAAAATGAATGGAAAATATAAAAAATAAGTATTCATGGCCAAAAATACTTCCTCATCTGTGTCAAAATGATAGAAAACCTATATTAGCACATTAAAATATATATTTTTTGTTTTTTTAGACTTTTAATAGTTTTTGTGACTTTTTTTTCAAACTTGGGAATTTGGCCACCAAAACTGGGCTTAATCGGACCTACCTGTGGTGCCGGTTCTAGGTAACCCAGCCAGATCTGGTTCGACCTGGCCGCTTTATCTAACAATTCTCGTTGTTGGAAATTGGCTGGGTGGAAAAAGGGGATAAATATCGTATTACATGCACTTGATGGCTGCTGTTATTAGCCTCCATTACATCAATGGCTAGATGACCATTGGATCCCCCAGCCTCCATTTCATCATTAGTTGGATGACCGTTGGATCCCCCAGCCTCTATTTCATCAACAGTTAGATGATCGTTGGATCCCCATACCTGTCAGGCTCACAAAAAGATATCATCGAAAGGCGTCTCATATGCAGATGCAAGCGTGCGTAGTACGTCATCAAGTGCCCACGTCCTTGCACGTGCGCCGCACATGCATCATCTCTCACCTTTGTACTAAAAATATAAGGCATGAGAATGCATAGCTTATACTCACAATATATAA